TTTGCGAAATTTCATTTGACGGCTAAGATGTGCCGCACGTTACATTGAAGTACCCAAAAAATCGTAAAACGCGAATAATTTCCGAAAACTCCATATGCCATTAACGCGCATCCGATTTCGGTGTGCACCCTAAAAAAATACATCGATCTATACCATTTCAATGTGGTCCATTAAGAAACATGGATGTGCCAGCAAAATCTATTTTTAAGATAAATTGCGTACATCTCTCTTTCGGCTGAAGTTTTTAAAGTTCTCTTTTCGAAAAAGATCAAAATCCGTATGAGGTCATTTATTGAAGCGGAAATGATACACAGAAAACGCAAATAAATCCGCGATATTTTCAAAAACATTTTTTGCCAAACTTCGTGTTTTTGGAAGACCAGTTCCCGCCGTTCTAGTAGATGGATTTTCACGAAGAAGATTTTATATCATCCGAAACGTAAAAAACCTTATTGATCGCGGGTACCCATATCATTCAGTTGACAGATCTAAAAATTTGGCCCGAAAAATAGGTTTTTTAGAAATTTGATCGCACAAAATTCGCACCTTCGGATGAGTATTACTCTGAAGCTGTGCATACTACATACACAAAATACATATCAAATTACGCAGATTCGCGACTACAATAATCTTATAATCGATTTTTATAAATTCCTGTTTGCGTATTAAAGCTAGAAAAAAACACTCAAAATCGAGCTTCAAAATGTCAGCATCATTTAAAGGTAGATGCAGTTAAAATTTTGAAAAATGATACATAAGGGGCGTAGTCCCCATTTTGTTGGCTTCCAGTTTTATTTTGACACGAAGACCGTGCAATGAGTGGCTTAGTCACAAATCGATAGAGAACATAAAAAAACTGGCCTCAACGTCTTTTTACACATTTTTTTACATTAAAGTAGACACAGTTTCCCCAAAATAAAGTTTGGAGGTCAATATCATGAACAGTTTACAACGACAGATCAATTAACCCAAAACTATTCACTTTATACCATATACTTAAGTAGTTCCCGAGTTATAAAGGGGTGAACCTCCGCTTCAGCTATGTTCAAAAATTGGCAATATTGCCCATATATATATATATATATATATATATTGCAAGCAACTACTGAGGCAACAATCAACACCTTTGATTCAGAACGCATACCTGAAACGAAAGTAGTAACATGGTGAACTATAATACCAAATAGAGAACAATAAAATAGTGGAACACTAGTTCAGATGCCGGCTGATAACTGTTGCTACACAAATGGCTCTCGACTAGGAGGAAAACCGAAGAATCGGGTACCGAAATTTCTCTTCACCTTACAGATCAGAGCATGATCGGAAGTTCGGTTAAGTTCAAACCTAGGACAAAATACAACAAATATAATTACATATAGCAAAGAAGCTGTAAAGGCTATATCTTCCAAGAGCTTAATCCAAAACTGTACTGGAATGTATAAATACCATTAATGATTTCTCACAAAAATATGTACGAATTATAAGGTACCGAGTCACAAAGGAATCAGAGGCAACGAGATAGCAAACCAACTAGCTAGGAGTGCCACTGCACTACCCACAACAGATGTGAATATCGCCAAACCCTTTAGCGCAACAATAAATGAGGGAATGTGCGAATGGAAAATGAGGTTCTTTGATTACATTCTCCTGCAAACTGAAAAACTTTTTGGTGCATGTAATCAAAGAACCAATGTTGTAATTCTTATTATTGAGTGTGCATATAACCTTATGCTAAGTTGTAACTCTAACCGTTTCTTCAAAATCAACTACCATATCAAAATAATAAATCTCAAATTTTACCTACAAAGTGTTAAATTTACCAGCATACTGAAAAAACGGATACAATTTTTGGGAAATAACACTTTTTACGGACTAACCGATCTCAAAAAACGAGGAGTTCTGGAATCATAGGTGGGTTAAACCCAAAATGTTTAATCTAAACATTCCCCAATTCTATATTTCTCTGCATTTCTAAAGCGCATATGATATATATTTAAAATTGGCTGAACTTTATGAGAAATTACATTTATAACTTACTGTCCTTATCTAAATGTCCTTATTTAGACAGGCTGCATTTGAATATGTTGTAGCAAAGAATTTTGCAAAGCACTCTGAAATTTCAGAGCTTTTCTCAAATGTCTGATTATTGAATTTCAAAATGGACAATGTCATAAAAAGATTTAGAATTGGATTTTAAATTATCAGCCTTATTCTGGATATTTGCTAGGGAGATATCTCGCTTGTAAAAAATTTTCGCTTTCACATTCTCGCCTTATTCTGAATGAATGGGGAGATGCAAAAAATGCGAGATGCAGATTCGAGTTTTCGAAAATGGTGGTTGAAAAAAAGATTCGTGTTGCCATATTGTAATTTAAGTTGCAATGTGTGTTGCCCCATTGTAATTTAATTGTGTAACATTTTTCAATATATTATTTATTGATTTTTGTTATTAAAAATTGTTACTTTTTATTGTTATTTACACTATATAGCAATACAAATGTGAAATATCAAGAATCCGCTGTATAAATGCTTTGTAATTAAAAGAAAATAAATTAAAGTTTGAAAATATGGCAACCTACAATATGGCATGTGAAACAGCTGTTCATTGTTTTGATGCAATTTGGTGCAACAACTACAACAAGATTATAAATAAAAGAACATTTTTAAGATGACAAAAACACAACGAATAATGGAAAGAAATCTGCGATTGAATTAATTAATTCAGTTTATTATTTCACTACATAATTGTGTGCCTTTTTATTTAATTTCGATATTTATTTCCCCAGATTCTTAAAGTGGCATGTTATGTTATGATTACGATAATTTAAAAAAATAATATTTTTTGTTCTTTCATAATTTTTATTTAAGTTTTTCACTGTTAAGCGGTTTTGGTTTTTCCATAATTTTAAAATTTTTTTTTTTTGAGAGACAGACCCTCACCCAAAATGTCTCTATTTCGCCTCCAAACTGCATCAAACTCGACTTAAATATTCCGTATTACCTTCATATATTCCTTGGCAATACTTGGTTCAGCAGGCATCGTTATCAATAGGATTTTCAATGGCATTTTATTGGTTGTTTTCCAGTTAAAAGTGTGCTTACTACCATTTATAATATTTTAAATCGTCATACAATAAGTATTGTGTAAATATTTTTCATAAAAATAGTAATTACTTATGTCTTTGTAGTCAACTCCCCTTAAATTTATTAGCGAAAAATTTCGCACAAAATTTCCTACTCCCTGTAATCCAGAATACCTAATTTTTCCTTAAAGCGGATTTTTTCGCTTTCGAACTTCATTCAGAATAAGGCGAAAGCGAGAATGCGAAAAAATTCACACAAAAATTTTGTTCAGAATAAGACGAAGGAAAAGAGCGAGTAAATTCACGTGGAATTGACATCCAGAATAAGGCTGTATGTTTTGTCTTGTTTAAATAAAGATTTAAAGATACGATAGTCTCGAATATTTAGACCTTGCAACTGCATAATTAGCATAATATAGAGAAGACTTTTTATATTTCTTAAAATTTTATTTTTACAATTTTTAATACTTGAAAGCCCAGAGTGACCCATGGATATCTATCCGAGTTTCTAATTCTAAAAGTAGGAACACATTCTAACACATTGAAAAATTTTTAGTAGATAAATTATTATACATCATGGATATGCATAGTGCATTAAGAAACATATTTAGTTTGTTGGTAATATTTCAGCCTTCTGAGGCAAATTAGCTCAATTTTCAGATCTTTCCAGAAATTCCATAAAAAATGCATTAGCAGGCCAAAATTCTCTCGATATTAATCGATGAAACATATTTTCCTGCACTACGATTTTAAAAGGTGATCTACTTTCAGAGAATGCAGACCGAAGCCTATAACAACGTAAAAAGAAATTTCCATCGATTTTTGATTTTATGAAATATCTTTTATCCTCACTGAGGAAGTGATGATTCCCGATTTCCGTGAGTAGGTTTTGAAGTCCCTTCCAGACTGGCACATGTAATACTCACAGCTTTTAGATTAATCACTTCATTTACGTCCTTAGTCGTTGTTGTTGTATCAGCTTGTACTGATATGTATGGTGCGACTACACCATCCAGATCTCAATTGTGCCAAGACCACTCTGGTTTGTCGGAGTAACTGCTGCTCTTCGGCAGCTATCGCAGGCGGGTGATCACCAAGATCGTATTCACACGATATTCGTGTCAATACGACTCAATCCTGCTTGATAGGCCTGTTGATCTAGAGGCTCGCTTTTTTTGACAACATCATGTTGCGTTGACCCACAGGAAGAAGAGACGAAGCCTCCTGTATGTGGTTTACTGGAGTCATGAGGAGACACCCTGTGGTAGTCCTCAGGGCGGCAGGATTGAAGATTTTTCCACTGCGTTTCACTCACGTTAGCGGACTACACTGGCACCGAATAGTTTACCACAGACCGGTCTTTTGCTGTGTATGTCGTTAACAAGGGTTTGCTTAGCTCCCCAAGTGCTGCCGAATAGCGACTTGAGATATTTTCTCCACAACTTTTGACAGAAAATGTAGGTACAGGGTTGCGTATTTCATGAAAATCGTCTTCTGGATTGCCTGATATTTAAGCCATGCATCTTAATATACCTTGATTGCAATATACAATTTTTCATGTGTCAATACACAAAGTAAATAATTGTTGAGTGAAATAGATTGATTCCCCAACACAATCTCTCAATCGAACCCCATCATTTCACTACCACACAGAAATGAATTTTTATAATCTTTAAATGGTACCCATAGAACCGGGTATACATATCCGTACTTCCAGGTCAAATAACCGGGTACGTCCCCCTAAAACAAAAATATATTCCCAAAATTAGGGTATCAACACCCACCACTGAAAAGATTTTAAAACAAAATCTGATTGATTTTACTAAACTAGAGTTAAGACAGACACGTCGTCTCTACACCACTCTATTCTACAAAATGAGAATTACTATACTGTAGATCAGAAATGCAATTTATTACCTCTTTTTGCCTTTCCTTCTCGCTTTGCTTTAAGCAGTGCCATAGCATTGCTTCGTTTGTCATCTGTACGATTCATTTCAACATTCTTCTTTCTTTCCTTTGATCTTTCTTTAGGGTCGAAGTATTCGCCGTTGCCACTTGTTGCTTCATCATTAACCACGCTAACAAAATCATCTTCGATCGTTTCCGAGATTTCCTGGGTTTGAACATATTCTACAGGTACACAGTTTTCCGTCTTTGTTAAAATGTCTATTTCCTTTACATCTTCCAGAACTCTTGACGTTGGCAAAGAACTTTTAGTCTTCTTTTTCTTTTCTTTCTTTACTTTAGATTTTTTAGTTATAGCTTTCTCACCACGTCTTGCTAATTTCAATTTTCGCTCAATTTCCCATCTTGTACGCATTATATCACGCTGTTCAATTCTTTTAAATATCTCTGTCTCTCTTTCTTTTTCTGAAAGGCAGGACAATCGTTTACGATCCTCTTCGTCCCCCATTAGATTTTCGTCGTAGCCATCATCAAATTCCGAATCAGAACTAGAGTCAGAAGACGATGTCGATTCTGTGCTACCGTCAGATGCATCAGAACCTTCATCATTATTCTCCCCATTATCCGTGTCAGATACTTCCCCATCCTCGTGTTCATTACTCTTTCGCAAATTTACTTTTTCACTTCCGCTCATTCCTTCAATTGAAGAAGTGGGAGCGATGTATCCTTTGGTTGTATTAACTACTTCATCCTCAGAATCTGATGAAGCCGATATTGCTGATAACTGTTTAACATTGCTCAATTTTCTTTTCCTGCGCTTTCCAAGTGTCAAAGCATCCTGAAGGAGACATTTTAAAATAAAAGAATACATACATGGTAAAAGAGAACAATGGTGTACATAAATCAAAGTATAAATTTTTCAATAAAAATGGATCTTACCGACTCAATATTTGATTCAGATTCACTACGACTTGAATCCAGTTCCACCAGAGCATTTTTTCGTCTTTTTCCCATGTTTAAAAGTAGTTTTTACTAGAATAACTATGTGTCAGTTTTGCACGAAGTCTAAGTTATTAAATTAACAAATCAATATGTTGACAAAGCCGACTTTGTTTATCTTCGTCGGCGTATATATGGTCTGTTCCATTAGGGTAGTACCTAAATTCATGCGTATGTATACGAATTTATTCACCTCAAAAGTTAAATACATGTATTTCAATGAACGTTACCCAAATACGCATTGCGTACAGGGCTGCCATATTTGCCGATTTATCGGCATTTTGACGATTTTTCACTCTAAAAATGGAAAATGCCGATTTTTGCCTCAGAATTGCCGATATTTCAACAATCGACACAAATTGTCTAACTTTTTAATTTAATACGGCGTTACCATACAAACATATAAAATTGGCAGCTTTAAATCATTATAACTATCGGTGACTCGCCGCAGCCGTTTTCAATGGCTTAGATATCTGCATTTTTTTGTCAGCATTGTACTCTGTCTAGTTTACATTTTACATCGAATAAGGCAAATCTTTAGACTCCGAGTTTAAGGAGTTAAACTTTTTGAATTTTGAAAAAATTTTTGAAATTAAAAAGTTTTTGGAAAAAAATTCCGAAATTAAACGTGGGGACTCCAATTTAGCTTTTCCAGTTTTGTCTAAATTTGTACAAAGAATTATGGTTCTTCCACACTCCACAGCAAATGTGGAACGAATTTTTAGTCAGGTAAACCTTAAAAAAACTAAAATTAGAAGCTCACTTGAGAATGATTCATTGGAAGGGATTCTTTATTCTAAATATTACCTCAAACTAAATAATTCAAATTGTTTTAATATCAAAATTGATAATGAATTACTAAAAATGTGTAATAAAAATATGTACTAGTTTGTAAGTTATTTTTATGACCTTAATACCACACTGTGTTATACGTAAATCTGAAAGAACTCACTAGTGTACATAATAATTACTATATTTTAGAAAAATCTACATTTTTTGTAGAAAAATTAATCTTTTATTTTTTATACAGAATTGATGTAATAAATTAATGTAATAAACAATATTGACCTGTTATAAACCAAAAAAATATGAATTTATTTATAAATTATATGCTGCCGATTTTCTGCCGATTTTTAAAAATACAAATGCCGATTATGCCGATTTTTTTCTGAAAAATTGACGATTTTTCATGAAATTTAACTGGCAGCACTGATTGCGTATCACAATATAAAGTTGCAAATCATGGTATAATTATTATTGTACCATGTTGAAAAATTTCAACATTGACAATGCGTATTTTTGATTTTTTGTTTTTTGAAAATAGAATTTCAGTCATTGAAAAATTTGTGTTTCTATAAAAGTAAACAATTTTTCCATCAATTAAAAAATGTTTTCATCCATTTTCGCCATTTTCCATTGGCACAGATGGAAAAAAGTCCTTGCGTATTTGGGTAATACAAACGTCTAACAAACACTATTAAGGTGAGAAGGTGAGTATTTTTATACGGAGCGCAATAAAGTCTAAACGCAACCAGAGAGTCACGAGTCAGCGTCATACTTTTTCGTCGGCGTGAAAACCAAACGAAAGAGTTAGCGTTAGCGGCACAAAATGTCAATTATTTGTTTTCATTTTCTGACAGAAAATTTTACGTTGTGCAAACCAAAATAAATTTATTATTTAATAAACAATAATGTCAAGGAACTTGGATAAAATTATTGAAAAAATTATTTTTCTTCCACTTTATTATAAATTCGTTAAAAAACATCCACAATCTTTGAAAATATTTGTTTTTTTTAACAGCACTGCCATATGTTTTGATATAAATTCTTATTGAAATTTGGTAGCACTGTTGATTTTTACCTAAAATATGGCAACTCAATTGAGAGCAAGAGAGAAATTTTGAGTATGACGCTGAGCAAAAATGAACAAAATCTATTCTAGCGTCATGCCGCTAGACGCGAACGTCAGCCGTCGCGATTTCCCGTTGCCAATAAGAAACACACGGCAGACGACTATCGCTGAATCTAGACTCTATGGTTGCGTTTAGACTCTAAACGACCCTTAGAGTCTGAACGCAACCATAGAGTCTAGAGTCAGCGACAGTCGTTTGCCGTGTGTTTCTTATAGGCAACGGGAAATCGCGTCGGCTGACGTTCGCGTCTAGCGGCATGACGCTAGAATAGATTTTATTCATTTTTGCTCAGCGTCATACTCAAAATTTCTCTCTTGCTCTCAATTGAGTTGCCATATTTTAGGTAAAAATCAACAGTGCTACCAAATTTCAATGAGAATTTATATCAAAACATATGGCAGTGCTGTTGAAAAAACAAATATTTTCAATGATTGTGGATGTTTTTTAACGAATTAATAATAAAATGGAAGAAAAATATTTTTTTCGATAATTTTATCCAAGTTCCTTGACATTATTGTTTATTAAATAATAAATTGATTTTGGTTTGCACAACGTAAAATTTTCTGTCAGAAAATGAAAACAAATAATTGACATTTTGTGCCGCTAACGCTAACTCTTACGTTTGGTTTTCACGCCGGCGAAAAAGTATGACGCTGACTCGTGACTCTCTGGTTGCGTTTAGACTCTTAGAGTCTAAACGCAACCATAGAGTCAGGAGTCAGCGGCATACTTTTCCACCGGCGTGAAAACCAAACGAAAGAGTTAGAGTCTAAACGCAACCAGAGAGTCTAGAGTCAGCGACGGTCGTTTACCGTGTGTTTCTTAATGACATCGAGAAATCCCGACGACTGACGTCTAGAATAAATTTTATTCATTTTTGCTCAGCGTCACACTCAAATTTTCTCTCTTGCTCTCTCTGTATATCAAAACAAATATTTTCTAAGATTGTGGACGTTTTTTAACGAATTAATAATAAAATGGAAGAAAAATTGATCGGGGAAATAATAATATAATTTTTTAATATTTTATTTATTTTTTATATATTTTATTATTTTATTTGGACGCCGTTCATCTTTATTCTTTTACAATAAAAGAAGCCAAAATAACATGCCAATCCTGAAGTCCTCTTATGTGTTTCCCCCTTAAGGCGGAAGCACTTACAAGGATTCAGGCATAGCATGTTGAAGAAGAAACACATAGGAGGATTCAAGCCTGGTTTGTCAGAGCGCGTTTAGCCTACTAAATCCACCCGATTTCAAACCTTATATCCATAGCGTATACGTCACGTTAATAATGTTCACAAATCCAGTGGATTATACGTTATAGAATTAACATTTAAGTCGAGTGGCAAATGTTGTACACATTCAGGCGAAAAAAAATGACGGCGGTAATTTATTTGTTTTGGGAGCTGGAGCGAGAAATTGGAAGGCACCACCGTTGCCAGAAATAAAGAGCGCTATGCGGCTTTCACTTCTCGGCGATTCAGTATAGCCCATCAAAAAAAAAAATAATAATAATAAAATCCAACGGCACAGACACTGGTCGAGCAAATTCACGCAGGAATCACGATCACCACTCTATCGTTGTTTCTCAAGTACTCTCCCTCCCTCGATAATTTTTTTCCTCCGTTCATTCAAGCCGGTTCTGAAAAAAGTCAACGGTACAATCTCTGTGTGGAGTGAGATGTGCATGAAAAACGAGATTTTTTTCTTTCACATTCACACTCACTACCAACTATGTTGGCTTCAAAATTGCTTGATCCGAATGTAGAATGAATGGCAAACAGAAAAACGTGTTCAACTAACACATCTGCCACCACCTCTGCCGTTTGGTTAGGAACACATATACACTCTGGCAATTTGGTAAAATAATCTATGACCACGGCAACGAAACGACGTATGTCGACGGCTATACGCTCAAATGGGCACCAATGCAACTGGGTCGGAGCCTCCATATTGTCAGGAAGGTGGACCTTTCCTGGCCGCACAAACATGGAATTTAGAACATTGAAGATAAACATCTTTGCTTCTGCCGATTCAAATGTCCACCTGTTGGGGAATTGTGGAACAACTCCATTATTCTGTCGTCACAACTACGTGCAATTACAACGAGCTCATACTGTCGGTTTTTAAATTTAATCCACACCAAGTAAAGCGGGCATTTGGGTAAGAAATTCATGCTCGTACGGTACTTCGCCCATATTAAATTTCATAGGATACTTCACCGGAGGGACATTTAAGGCGAACAGCTGTTTCTTTGATCTTTGCTCCCGAATCCACCACCCCCTCCACTGGTCTGTTGCCAATAATTATAAAAAAATGCAAGTTGGTGTCGCCGACTGCACCAATATTTATGGTCACCGGGGAAGATGAAGGAGAAACGGCTTCACTTTAGTCTGAAATGGGTTGTTTACTACGCCTTAGATCACCACCTTTAACTTTAAGAGAATTTGTAGATGGAGCCTTTAAATCAAATTCAGCTGCTAAACGCTCCTCTAAACCAGCGGAGACTCTTTTCCGCTTTTTGTTGCCTTTTCCACGGTTCCTGCGTTGCCTTTTCCACGGTTCCACGAATTTACTTTCCACAGTCTTTACAAATGACTGAAATTGAATGTTAAAGATGGAAACACATAAGAGGACTTCAGGATTGGCTTGTTAAGCTGGCTTCATTTATTGTAAAAGAAAAAGGAGGACGGCGTCCAAATTCAAGTTTGACTCTGACATTCTTTATATATTGACATATCATACAAAGCAATCTTAACATAACAGGCCTGAATCCTCGTATGTGTTTCTCTCTTAAGATTGACAAGTCCCTTAAATGTGTTATTATTTTGAATTGAGTTTTCGGGTGACTTTAATATTACTTCCTAATTATGTGGTTGTTCTGATTGTTGCACACTTTGTGTTACCTTAAACGGCATATACATTAAAACTTTTTACCGGGTTAACCTACTTTATGAGGGTTTATTTGACATGTATGCAAAGGAATTGTCAATTAACGAAATCGGGATAAATGTAAACGTACTATTATATTACAGTAAGTAAGTAAGTAAGTAAATTTTTATTGAGTCTCTTCTTCTTTTCGATAACATAGTTTCATGTA